TGAAACAGAAAGAGAAGTTTTTTGCTATTCTCATATTTACATTTAACTAATTTTAATGCATTTTTTTTCGTGTTGGTTTGGTTATAATTATGTCGTACGTTACTTCACACTTCTTAACTCAAAAAAACAACAAAACAATATTAGGACTATAAAAAAGTTTTAAAATATTTCCATAAAAAAAAACAATATATGTGAACAAATACAACATACGGTAGAAAATAAACTGCAACAACTTATGACAAACTTTTACAGTAGTTTTACACCGGGTGTTAGACCGCCGTGCGTGCACGGCGTGAGCAAATCTAGTATATATATATATAGATATGATATTATGATGGATAAAATTGATTTTGAATACTCATAAATAATATACTAGATTTATTGCTAGAATATAGTGTGAATAAAATATTTTATAATATTATTTCACTAGATTTCTACAGTAACATATTGTATTTGTCTTTTAAAACAATTCAGTGCATAAGAAAGTCTTAAAAATCCTAGAGGGGTTTATAATAATCATAAATAAAATTATATATAGTAATAGCAAGAAAAAATAAAAAAATAAAAAAATAGTAAATAGTAAAATAAAAGAGACATTATTATTATTATTATTATTATTATTATTATTATTATTATTATTATTATTATTATTTTAACAACGTGACATTGCAAACAGTTTGACAGGGTCTAACAAATATGGACGTGATGTCTCCGTTTGTGAACTTAAAAAAAAAAAGTTTGATCTGTTCTGCAATTTAAACAAAGTTGGTTAATTTTTATAAATTAACACTTAGTATGCACAAGTGATTTGTTGCTCTATAAACAATCATCAAGTTTATTTAGAGATGGTAAACAAATAGAGAAAATGACACTCAATATCATAAATTAAAGTGAAGTAAGAAAGTAGCTACCCGCATTTTCTGTTTTTTAACCGAAAATTAGCATCATTTTTATTTGTCCGATGACTCTTGTCTAACATATAAGTGTGCCAATTTTGTGCTGAAAAATGACCATGACTTTTAAAAGTTTAAAGTCACAATAGAAATTGAATGTATATTGTTCTTCAAACATAACATTCAGATTCTTCTATTTCCTTTGTATTTTCTTGACATCATGTATTTATGAACAATGTTTATTGGAGTTGTTTTTTGTACAATAAGTAAGTAAGTATGACTATTTCCAAAAGTATTAAGAAGAATGGGAATTAGTTTGTATGTGAAAAATATATATACTTGGTGTATCAAATAATCATTTCAGTGTTTATATTAAATCTTACAAAGCTCATCTTATATTAAATGACTAATGAGGCTACTAGCTAGCTAGATACAAACTCATCTTACACATTGATCCAAAAATTCACAATTTGCAACTTTGGCATTTGACCATATTCATTTATATTTGTGAAGATGATTGTAAAAAATACTTCTAAGTTGAAAATGTTAAAAAAAGTTAAAAACCGACACAGTACAAGTTGAATCTTGATCGGCATCTAGTTATTAGACAATGCACATTGTTGACTATAGTTCGGTGAATCCCTTATTTTAATTTATAAAATTGAAAATATTAAAAAAAATTATGATTTTAGGTAAAAAAATTAATACATTTAATTACAAAAAAAAACGTAAATTTAATTCCTTAATTAATATTTTGCAATATTTGAATGGATCATCAAATTAAGAGTTTTACAATTTCTGACTTATTTTTATTATATAACCAAAAATCTTAATTTATAACTTGAAAAAGTTAATAAATACGACCAAAATTAATTAACAAACAAAAAAATTGAAATAAAAAAGTTGATTAAATTATAAAATTGAATATATATATATATATTATTATTTTTAAACACAACATATTTATTGGGTGTTGATTTTTACCGCCCCCCTTTTCGATTATTACCGCCCCCCTAAAAGTCGTTTTTGCCCTTTCTAATAAAAAAAAAATACATTCATTATTCACTTTACATATTTTTTCTCCCGGTTCCGGACTTCGAAAAATTCCGAAAAAAATTCCGACCTACTCCGGCAACGACGATGGCGGCGAGTAAGGTAAATTTTTTTTTCCTCGGCGGCTGGCCGGCCGGACCGGCCGGTTCACCCATGGCCGGCCG